ATTTATTAGATAAGTAGCGAAATTACAGATCTCGACTGTGGAAGAGTCATAAATTGCATTACGGAGCAGAAAAAAAAAACAAAAGAGATGGGAGAGAAGAGTTTGGACTCGGAGCTGTGGCACGCCTGTGCTGGAGGCATGGTTCAAATGCCGCCGGTGAACTCAAAGGTTTTCTACTTCCCACAGGGCCACGCTGAGCACACTCTTGCTACAGTTGATTTTGGGGCTCTGCCCAAAATCCCACCAATGATCCTCTGCAGGGTTGATGCCGTGAGGTACTTGGCCGACCCCGAAACCGATGAAGTTTATACCAAGATATGTCTGATTCCAGTCGGCAAAAACGAGCAGCACAGTTTTGATGATGGCAGTGCGCCGGGAAACACTGGATCTGCACCTAATGAGAAACCGAATTCGTTTGCAAAAACTCTCACTCAATCAGATGCCAATAATGGCGGCGGGTTTTCAGTCCCTAGGTACTGTGCAGAGACCATTTTTCCTCGACTGGACTACACAGCCGATCCACCTGTGCAGAATGTGATAGCTAAAGATGTCCATGGAGAGACCTGGAATTTCAGGCATATTTACAGGGGGACTCCCAGGAGGCATTTGCTGACCACTGGGTGGAGCACGTTTGTGAACCAGAAGAAGCTTGTGGCTGGGGACTCGATTGTTTTCCTGAGGGCCGAAAATGGGGAGCTCTGTGTCGGGATCCGGAGAGCTAAGAGGGGCAATGGTGCGAATGAGCTTTCGTCTGGGTGGAACTGTGGTGCTGTTGGGAATTTTGGATTTTCGTCCTTTTTGAAGGACGAGGAGAACAAGATGATGCATAGGGGTTTTGGTGGTGGTAGTGGGGGTTTGAGGGAGAAAGGGAGGGTCAGACCTGAGTCAGTTGTGGAGGCCACTTTCCTGGCGGCCAGTGGCCAGCCTTTTGAGGTGGTATATTACCCGCGTGCCAGCACGCCAGAGTTCTGTGTGAAGGCGTCAACTGTGAGTGCTGCTGTGAGGATCCAGTGGTGCTCGGGGATGAGGTTCAAGATGCCGTTTGAAACCGAGGACTCGTCCAGGATTAGCTGGTTCATGGGGACTATAGCGTCTGTTCAGGTTGCGGACCCCCTCCGTTGGCCGAACTCCCCTTGGAGGCTGCTTCAGGTAATGCGCAATCATTATTGTGATTCTCGAGATGTAAATGCAAGATTATAATTTTTTATTTTTTATTTTTTAATTATGTAGAGACTAGTCACCTGGCTGCTGATTTGTCCTGTTGGTTTATTTTGTATTTTGTTCAACTCTATATTTTTTTCTTGTTAATTAGAAACTTTTCAGTTATGTTTTTGGATTCAGTAAGCTACTGCAAATGTTGAACTAAACAACTTGATGAAAATAATATGCAACGCCTCGAGAGATCACATTAAACTTTAATAGACAGCTTACATCATTACAGAGAAGAATAAGTTGTCTGTTTTGTACGCATGTATATATTTCAACAACATAACTTTGGGTGAAGATGATAAAATTGGCTGTTATGTTTTGTTTTCATTTGTGGCAAATTTCGCAGGTTACATGGGACGAACCTGACCTTCTGCAGAATGTGAAGTGTGTCAACCCATGGTTAGTTGAGATGGTCTCTAATATGCCTGTCCTCCATCTCTCTCCCTTCAACCCACCTAGAAAGAAGCTCCGTCTACCCCACCATCAGGACATCTCCCCACTCGACAACCAACAATTCCCTCTTCCGTCCTTCTCAGGCAACCCCTTAGGCCCTAGCAGTCCCTTATGCTGTTTTTCAGACAGCAATTTACCTGCAGGCATACAGGGAGCCAGGCATGCTCAATTTGGAGCCCCGTTTTCGGACCTCCACCTCATCAACAACACGCTGCAGATGGGGCTTTTCTCACCCAATTTCCAGCGTCTCGACTCTCAAGTCATAGTTCCCAATAATCTGACAAGGACCAAGTTGGACAGCAATGAAAATATATCCTGCTTGCTTAGCATGGGAAATTACAGTCAGAAAAAATCGGGCGAAAGGGCCCACTGTGTCAAAAAGCCTCTGTTTATACTCTTTGGCCAGCCGATACTCACTGAGCAGCAGATGTCGTGCGACTGGTCAGATGATTTGGTTTGTAAAACTGAAAATAACACAAAGGCATCCTCAGGCGAACTTGGCCCGGATACAGGTCACTGCAAGGTGTTTTTGGAGTCTGAAGATGTCGGCCGGACACTTGATCTGTCTGTGCTGGGATCATATGAGGAGCTCTGCCAGAGGCTTGAGCACATGTTTGGGATAGAAAATTCGGAGATGCTGAGCCACGTGTACTATTGTGATGTAATGGGTGCTGTTAAACAAGTTGGAGATGAACCCTTCAGGTAAATATTGAACTAGGCTTTTATTTTAACGAACATCTATGCTTATCCTGATTTTCCATTTTGAGATAACTAGAAAAAGTTGTCTGTTAAAACTGCAAGTGTCACCCTAACACGATCGAGGTGGTATTTTTAGTTTTGATGCATATTTATGTTAATTGTTTATAGTTGATGTAAGCTCCTTGTAACTATCCCTTTCCATTTATTTACATGTTTGATCAATTCTGGGGTGCTGCAGTGAGTTTGCAAAGACAGCTAAAAGATTGTCTATTCTTATAAAACCGAGCAATAATGGTGCCGAGAGGTAACTTCTTTGCTGATAGTTCAAATTTATGTTTTTATGACTTGTCCATATTCATGTATGGCGTCACTACATCTTCTATTAATTCTTGTGGAGGCCGTTGTCTCAGCAGTCCTTGTTTTAATTTTAAATTTCATTTTAAAGGGAGTTAAAAATCATTTATCTGAAGTTTTTCATGAATTTTTTTTATCAGGAAGTTGATTACTGGTTTGCCGACTGCTGAGCGTGGGCTGGATTCCTCAAACCAGACGGGGCCGTTGAGCATATTTGCATAGTTGAAGCATATGAGGCAAATATAGACCATTACAAAGAATGTCTGTCGACACCCCTTTTCTGCTCTTTTTTGTACTTTCTTCATTCATGTGAAGTTGTGCAATATCACCATTTTCATGTAATTTGAACTACTAAATGTAATGCCTAAATGAGTGTAGCCAAGATGAAACACTAGTACATTTGGCGCCTTCCTTACCATGAACTTACGTTGTATGTTTTCTCATGTGCTGCTTTATTTCTCTGACGTGCTTTGCTTGTGTTTTGGAATGTTTTCTATTTGTGGATCTATTTATTCAAGTTCAATGTGTCATCTTGCATCTCTAGTGTCTATTGATTGATGATTTTGGCTTTTCTTTCATTCGTACCTGTGATGTGAACCCAGCTAAAATCCCAAATTAAATGCTACTTTATATGTTTTGGCAAATATTACATGGACGTTAGTATCTTGATGCCTGGATAAAGAGTTTGCTTTTCTTTTTGTTGGAAATTTAAATTGGAGTAGCCATATTGTATTTTATTAGGATAAATTTTGATTTTCTTGGGCGAACATAGACTGACCAATGTATTATTATTCAATTTTTGAAAATGGTCAAAGAACTATAAATCTTAGATGCTATGATTTGGGTGCTGGACAAGCAAATATGAATGGCGCTGGTCGTGGCTGGCTTTGAGAACATGTTTGACCTAAAAATCCCATATATATATAAGTATAATGAAAATGTTTGAAATAAAAGCAACAGTTTACCCTCTTCACACGTGAGGTATGGGACAAGTGTTAATTTTTAGGACAAGCAAAAGTGGGTAATTTGTTTATTGATTGGGCGTCGTCATCATCTATGCTTTACTACCCGCTCCACTCGCCGCCATTGTCTCTCTGAGCTTTGACTAGTTGCTTCATTCACTCATCATCTTAATGAACATTAAGTTAAGGCCCCATTTAGTCATGACACATAATCCAAGTTGTTGTTAGTCTTCATGTAATCAATGTTGTATTCTTACACAAAACCCTACTCCACTGTTTGAAATAATATCCTTTCCTTCAGTTTCTTTATGGGGTAAGGAATTTTGTTTCTAAATCGCATCCAAATTAATGGTGCTTGAAACTATATGGTACTCGGACCTTTACATTTTCGCATTATTGTAATTAACTCATTTCTCAAACAATATATATATATATATAGAGATGCGCTCAAATGAGAATGGACCATAATGAGAGAAATAAGAATTAATACGGACCGATCGATCCAATATTTGAACGAACCAGATGCGCTCACGCATCTTAATTACCTGCCCACTTACCGGTGGCATTCTCGTAATAAGGATTAAAGATGTGGTTAATAGTGCAGCTGTGAGGGTACTCCCGTCTTTCCACAAAAAACAATGAACAATTGACGTTTTCGAACACATTCATTGAGGCAGTAAATACGGCTCGTCTCCCCGAGCTCCAGAGATAACGTATGGAGCTGGTGGAATTATGGTAAGAAAAAATTCTTAAAAAAAAAAAATCTAGCATTCTTGTAGATGACGACGGACATCTTGTAATATCTATGTATTTCTCGCAGATCTATTGTTGATATGTTGAAGAGAGTTTAGATCTGAAGCTGTTCACCGTACTGTGTTAATCGAACGTATTTTAACAATGGGTAACTCTCCCAAATTGGAGAAATCAGGTAATTTTTGTGCTCATTGTGTTTATGTTGTGTCGCATTTTTAATTTTTCGTTGTGTTTATGGTGTGTCGTATTTTTTACATTTAGGGCTATAATGATTTCGCCCCTTTTTTTGTATGAACTTCAGAAATCATGCGAAGCATGTATTTTCTACTGTCTTATTGTAATTTAAAATGCGATATGACGTTTGTGTATAGTATTTTAGTTTCTGGTTTTGTGGGGTTTATCTAGTATTCCTGGGTTTTTGGTGGCATTTTCTTGTTTTATATACCTCTGTAATTATGAAATATAGTTTGCATGTTTGCATTGATATTGTTGTTCTATTGTTTATCCAAAAGTGTACGCATAAATTACTCACAATTTTCACAGAACTGTTAGTACATTAGACGTATTTTCACACTATTGATAGAATAGTTGTCTATATGTCTTCAACCTATTGTTAGATTACCATAAACTGAAATGACCTGGTTTATAATAAATTATTTTTTATGTCGTGTAGATTAAACTTCAGTTGTACACACCAACCTGTTATTTTTGTATGATTTGATTTCCTCAATGCAGGTAAACGTGGTGCGGATGCAAGCAGCTCGGATATACCGCTTGTTGCTTGGAAAGGTATGTGCCGTTATGTTATGTCGGTATGACAATACTTTGAATGATATTCAGTTTGCATGTAACGGTGTTCGTGCTTCTAATGACTGATGCTATTTGCTAGCAACACGGCGTCGTACGAGCTCCCCTTTAACGCAACCCATTAATACACACGTTGGCGCTGATGGTGTTCAAGAAGGTTAACACTTGCACATTATATATTGTCGTACGTGTCGGTACATGTGTTGTGTGTAACCATTGATATCATAATACAGTTATTGGATTTGTTAATGTGTGCAACGTATTCTATACATGGCTATAGTAGACATTCATCACGAGTATTTCTTTATTCTATACCTGTTGAACTTTGACAGTAACGTTGTTGTATATTTGTTGTTACGTTCCAAGATCTTCTTTTACTTTTTTCATCTCTATTTGTGGGTGTTAACTAATTGCTTATTATACAGATGCATCTCGTACGATGCCAGTGAATACGACAGAACCAGATTGTGTCCGTGTGAATCGTGCGAAAGCGTGTGCACATACATCAAGCCAGCCTAACAGTGACGACTTAGTGGATGATGGTCATCGTTTGCGTGTGACTAAAAATGCCCATACATGTAACGGTATATTCAACCATGCGCTGCTATATTCCCAGAACATTCATTTTCATGCTCAGAGTTGTGTAAAAAAATTAAACAAATAATATTATATAATGGTATAAAGTGCATTAATTTAAGTTGCATTCTATGTTTATAGGCATGTAATTATAACAACATTTTAAGATGATTTTGGAATATTTCTGCTTATTTTGTGTGCAAAATGTGCAACTAACGTCCTGTTTATACGAATATATCTTTATGAATTTCTTTTTTTTTTTTTTTCCTAACATTTTTTCTTTTTCCAGTTAAGGGCAAGAAAGTAATGGCTGATAGCAATAAAACTGATGGCGATGATGTTGATGTTGTTCTTCTTGGAGATGGTACGGGCAGCGAGGATGACGATCAATTCCCGAGTCTGATTACGAGATCGTCACCTGCTATATTCGTGAAGGCGATTTCTGGTTTGTCAGATGCTCAGAGGCACGCTGTTCGTGATATGGGTCTCGAACATTTGTTAGATTTGACCATAACAGCCACACCATTGAAGATGGGCTTATGGCTGGTGAACAATTTCAATCACCTGGATCGAAAGTTGCGTTTATATGATGGTGAAAAGGTGCACATTAAGGAAGAAGACGTGCATGCTGCATTAGGCTTGCCCCGTGGAGAGATTGAAATTAGGAACAAGAAGAAGAGAGCTACATCGGACTTGCTTGATGAATGGGTTAGTCTGTTCAATGTGAGAATACCGTCTAATATTACGGCGTCCAAGGTGTTGGATAAGATGCGTGAGTGCGAAGATGGCGGTGACTGGTTCAAGCGACATTTTCTCGTGCTTATGGTCACTTGTCTGTTCGAGAGTTCTTCGAACGGGATGGCAAACTTCCGTTTAGTCCATATGCTCGACGACCTAACCAAAGTATGCAAGATGAACTGGTGTTCATATATGATCCGATGCCTTGTGGACACTAAGAGATCGTGGGATGCTAGCGGCAAACAAAAGAAGTATACCGGTCCATTGTTATTTATGACGGTCAGTTGTTCCTAAGTATTCCATTAATATCATTATTATTATTTATTTATTAATATATATGTATATATATTCCATTATTATCTTTTTGGCTCATCTGATTGACTACGTATTTATTCTGATTGTTTGATGCAGCTGTTTTATGTGGATAATGTCGTCCTGTCGATGAGATCTATTTCAAGGTCGTTCCCCCTGTTTGTGTCATGGACGAACGAGACATTAAAGGCTAGGGAACAGGACGAGATTGAAGCTGGAGGTTTTGGGAGAGGATTTGTTGAGGCTGACAGGCACGTGGTCGTCGACCGTCACAAATCGGACAGATATGATGCCACAGCCAACAATAACGAGATCAAGAGCACAATGGAACCCAGTGTGCAGGTGCGTTATATATGTGATGTTATGTTACTGTTTGTTATTTGATCATTCCCCTTACTGTTTTCTTATAAAATATATGTTAACTTAATTTTTATTTTTACTTCTTACTTTTGTTTTTTTTTTATCTGTTACCTTTCTTGCTCTTCCTCTTCTTCTTTTTTTTTCTGTTTTTTTTGTTATTTTTGTTTTTTTTTTTGTTTTTTGTTTTTTTTTGTTTTTTTGTCGCTGATATATATTGTGCTTCATTTTATGTATAATTGTGCACCAAGTTGAGTTAAAATGTGCTTGATTATATAGTGTTGCTATATGGTGTTTTATGTATACGCATGGTGATTAAAAGTGCGTTGATTTGTTGTTTTTGTTCTATTAACAGGCTTATGTTCAAGAATTCGCATCCAAAACATGTCTTCTTGCTACAATCGGAGATGAAATTTTGCAACTGGTTAATAAGGCACCACAAGTTCTAGTCGGTGACGAGAATTTTATGAAAATACGAGGCGCGGCGCAAAAGCTGTTAGGTGTGTATTCCGGAGTTCCTAAAGCAAATTCTGACCGTCACGATCTAGGTCAACATAATCATACCGTCCCCGCGAGTGATATGGATACGGACAATGCAAATGGTGCTACCTATCAGTTACTAGACGATGCATTCTGGAATGATCCTGAAACATTGGCGGCGATAGACTCGATTTTGAAGGCGGTTGAGCGACGTGATCATTTCAAGAGGATGCAGCTTGACGTTCCCAGTTTCAACTTAGGCATCTCGTCAGATGACGATGATGCAGGTGACACCCGTCATCAACATACGAGCGGGATTGGCGTGGGTTCTGTACATAATGGGATGCCTGAAACTGCTGATAAGTCACTCAATATAGACGTGCAAAAAGGTATTTGATAAAATTATTGTTGAGACGTCACCCAATATAGAGTTTTTTGGCTAATCAATTTTTTTGTGTTATATTAATATGTTTTTTTATCATTGTTTATGAAGATGTTGGTCAGTCTGAGCATGCAGTTGGTGAAGAAATTGGGTTGCACGACAAAGGACATGTAACTACCGGTATGTACGTAATGCTCAAATATATTTAATGTATTAAAAATTTGTTCTATGCCATTTTGTTTTTGCTTATGTATATATATATATATATATTCCTTTTTTTTTCTTCAGAAACTGCTTGTGAAGTATCTCGTGGTAATGATGTAAACGTGTCTCCGAGGCCAAAGAGGCGTATCAAGGCGGCCAGTATAATTAAATCACCTTTTAAGCAGAGGACGATTGATGTGACGAAAAAGTTGGACGGGACCGAGAAGATGGTTGTTAATTGGATGCTGAAGAATGATGCTTCTGACGAGTATGAATGGTTCAGTCTTTAATATAATTGGTCATATTTGTGCATTAAGATGGTTTAATATTTTATTGATTCACAATCCTGTGAAATGGGCAGGGGGGTGATTGCGTTTCAGTCAACTGAACCAATCGAACTATATGTGAAGAAGTCAGTTGTGGTATGTCTGACTCCCGGCACTCCAATTACTAAGGAATTACTTGACTTATGGTCTTTCATTCTAAACTACAACGAGAACCTTAGAAGTCGTGGTGCACCAAAATGTTTTTTTGCATCAACTTCCCCGTGCAACGAGGTATGCCACAATATATTATGTGAATTATCTAATATTGTAAGTGGTATGAATATTATATGTTTAAGTAGATCTTATACTGTTTAATGTTATCGTGGCTTTGCAGTTGTTCTTTGATGGAAAACGGAAAAAAGAAACAAGCTATAAAAAGTTTGCTCAGACACTAGACTCTGAAATTACACAGACGTCCATTTACGCATTGAATGAAATACAAGTGGTATGTTATATTTTCCTGAATCATCCTGATTCTTTCTTTAATACTAACTGTATACATGAGTTGCCTTACATTCAATTGCCCATTCTGTTTATTTGTTGGATTTTTGGGGTGTCGTAATTCTGTAACGTTATATGTAAAATTTACATATAATTGTATTATATAATATACACGTGTGTTACAATAAAGGTTATGTTTATGTAGTGTGATGATTAATGTCTGTCATGTTTATCGTTACTGCAGTTTCTATTTCCGGTGCACTCCGAGACATTTCATGGCTTAATATGTGTTGTCCCGGGATCCCAAAAGCTGATAATCATAGACAGTTCCGGATCTCGCAAAGACGGAGCTCTTATGAGATCGATTGTGCCACGATCTGAGTTGTTGGTAATTAGTTATAAATATAACAATGTTTTATATAATTTTACGTGTTGGATATAAATTGTTTGATAACTAATATCACATTTATTGCAGCAACGGTCGATGTCAAAGTTTCTAGGTGAAAGGAATTTGGCAAAATTCTCCATATCAGTCGGGCTGGCTGTTCTTGATGTGTTCGACACAGCGTGGACTGAGGGCGTCGACAAGGCAGACATTGGAGTGATCACAATGCGTCACATGGAGACGTTCAAGGGTGGCATCTCGAAAACTTGGAATCCGGGACTGAAAAGGGCAGACAAGGGCCAGATCAAACTTATCAGGAAGCGCTACACGTGCGTTATAGCATTTGCATCGAACAACAAGTTGAAGGACAACAATCTTGAAGAAGCACATAAGTTTCACCCGGTTCACCTTGCAAACAAAAACAAAGCAGCCACATGATGCACAGTGGTAGATGGGAATTGCTTGTTTGTCCGAATGTCAATGAGTAGATGGTTTAGTATTACGTAGGGCTAATCAAACGCATTCGGTTTATTATGTTTTGTGGTGGTTTTATTATGACTGGTTGGTGTCTTTTGATGAACTCGATCGCGACGTAGGCGATGACGCATGTTTTTTGTGAATGTTTTGTGTTTGGGATGTCAGGCTAATGCACGACGAAACTTTTGAATATTCAATCATTTATGCGGTATGAACATTTTGTTTTTTTTTTTTTTGTTGGTACAAATGCCGTATGAATTCAGTTCCTCATATCGATGACGTCCGTACATGTTATGATGTGCATTTTCTATATATATACAGTGCAACCTTTGTAGCATTATTGTGCACACGAGCTATTATTTTGTCAGTCAGTCGTCTTCTTTGTTTCACTATATCTATTAATGTAATTATATATCAATGATGTAGTTATTTAGACGAGAATATGGTGCATAATGTAAAGACATATTGTGCATGATATAACACACTATTGTGCAACATTATGTATAATGCTGTGCACCCATTATTCAATGTGTAAATGTTATGCGAATCTTGCATATTTTTCATTCCATTAGTTCACCGTACTTTATGAACTAGTAGAATACATAATATATATTGTCACCGTTTATCTATTTCAATGTTAATTATTTAACCGTATGTGTGCATGGTGGCTATGGTTAATGTGCACATATGTTAACATTATTGTGCGCATATATATTGATAATGTGCATGCGAACCTGTGTGTGAATTAGATATGAAACGTTTTTATTGTAATTCTAAAACTTAATAACACACACACATTCCATTTGAACATTGTGCACCACGTGTTGATACATAAAGAAACANAAAAAAAAAAAAAAAACCCAACATACATCGCATAATAACATCGTCGGTTTGAAATTGGTTTAATGAAAATATTAGTGTATCTGCAGTACATGAATATGAATAATGTAATGATCACGAAAGTATCTCAAATACATAAAGCGTTGTAGCTGAAGGTAACTGACATCCTCGCAATTGCATCCTGAAGTAGTAAATTATTCAAGCATATTTTGGCGTTTTGATGGTGCCTGCACATGTAAAGTTGTAATTATCAAACATCAACAGTAAGTATATAGGTATAAATCGTGTTTGTGTACAAATAACTCATATAAACCACACGATTACATTACACAATATTAATTTAATAAAGCTGATTGCATCAAAATAATTCCAACAGTCTTGGTGTATTACACCCCATCCTACAATGGCTGTTGTATTTAAAGTGGGAAAAAAATATATATGTATATATAATAATAATAATAAACGAATAAATAAACCATAGGCGTAAAGACAAGAGTTTGTACATACCTATGAATGTTGGTCAGGTGGTGTATCTATTGCCTTTTTCGGGCAGGTTCGCGTATTGTGTCCTACTCTCTCACCACATGTCTTGCATAGCCTCCTTTTTTTCTGTGACATTTCGATCGACTTTTCTTTGGCACTCTTCATTCTTTTTCCGCTCCCTTTGTTTTTTGATTGTGCTGGAGGTTGGATGTGTATGTCTTGTGGGGCGGAAATCCCAACAAAAGATTCGAACCTCTTTTCCCTTTCAGACATAGCTGACACACCACCCTCTTGTTCAGCCATGAGCTTTCGCTTGTGCTCCCCAATGAGTTTAGAGAACTCAACCAGTTGGTCCATGCGCGTCTCAGCCAATCCCATGCAAATGTGTAGGTCTGACCAAAGCTTATTCATCAAAATCTTTTTATCATCTATTTTGGCGCATTGTTCTGAGATGTTTTCAGGAACCTGGAACATAGGTTTGCTAATCGCAAGTTTTGTCCACCTCGACATGACATGAGAAGGTGGTATAACCTCCATGTTTATGTCTTTGTACACAACAAAAGCATGCCGACATAGCCACCCGTGCATTTCAAAGTGTTTGCACGAGCAGTGAGTTGTTTTTAGGCTGACATCGTGTACTACCGTAAACGACTTCCCGTCAACATCTTTTATCACGAACGTCATCTCACCATCAGCTTCAGAACGTTGCATGACCTGGCATCTGAAACACGCGTCACAGATTTCATTTTGCACACGATAGAATATCGTGGTGGTGTACACAGACAGAGCATGTTTTTCAACCGGCAATTGGGTTTTCAGGCCAGCCACGTGAGTTTCAGTGTTACTTTGTAATTTCATTGACGTGTTTCGTTGTGCGTCCATCGCACTATCATAATGCAACAAAAACTCGACTAAGCTGGACTGGTTACTCGTAAAATTGCTAAACCAATTGTTCTCGCTTTCCGATCGAGAAGTAGTTCTCATAAGCCCACTCATACTGACATCTCTAAAATAAGCCGGTATCCAATACTCTCTCTTGGCAAACAAATCATTGAACCAATTATGGGTATCTAAGCTATATTCGCTCATAATAGCAGCCCATTTAGTTTCAAACTCGGCCGGTTCAATTTTTCTATTCCAAACAATTTCATTAAACTTCCTCTTGAAGTTGATGTCGCTATTTAAAGCATGTCCAACTTTGTCACATAACTTATTCATGATATGCCACATGCAAAAGCGGTGCTTGCTACTAGTGAATACCTTGGGGAAAGCAATTCCAATCGATGGGTCTTGGTCGGTGACTATGTAGTTAGGCTCGTGCATCATTGCATTCTTGAAGTTTTCTAACACCCATACGTAAGAATTGACGTCCTCCTTAGCTATCAAGGCGGCTGCAAACGTTACACACTTTCCGTGGTTGTCTATGCCGGTAAATGGTGCAAACACCATATTGTATCTACAAACAACAATAGTATGATGTATCAGTGCACATACTCGTTACATACTGTGCAAAAAATTATCATATATTATGCTGTATTAATTGTTAGTGTTATATACTGAAAGCTTGGCTTTGCATGTTATTACACATTTACCCTTTATGAATGAGAATCATGTTAGATTAAACAAGTTCTACGTTCTGTTGTTCTGCACTTAGATAGGGTGGGTCGTCATCGGGCGAACCGAAGATCACTCTGTCAGTCACTTGCGAACAAGAATAGTTGTTCACAACCTAGATGGACATGAACACCCCATCCGAACGGTTGTAGTGTCAACTGTACAGTTTGTCTTGACTGATTAGTTGCACTAGTACATTTATGTATTGAACAGGATCCCAGAGAGGAGAAGTTCATTTTATACTGATCGTCGTAAATGAACTAGGCCTCGGTTAATTACTGCGTTCTCTTAACCCGTAAGATATTAAACAGGCAGATATATATAATATATATTACTTTGATTCACATGGGTGAGGTTCAGTTCGCTGGATTAATATTCCTACTGTTTTGGGTAATATTATTATATATAGGATGTGCTGTTAGGATATTTACGGTCACCATGTGCGTTAGTTTGATGATGTCCCCGGAGTGAGTTCATGAAGGATTGTTATGCTAAACCCTGCAGGTGGATTAAATTCCGGCATAATAAGAATGTGATGAACGAGCGCTAGCTTCGGTGAAATAATAATAAATTAATTAATTCTTGATTGTCAGTAATCGAATTAATTAATGGACATTATATCTTAAACGTGGGGAGGTAAATCGAGTAATTATTATTGGAGTCTCAAATGTAATTTGGGCTAGGGAAAGGGAGTGCAATAATATAATGTTGGTGGCCCATTAATATTATTTAATTAATTAGAGGAGTGGGTTTGGCCCACAGTTAGTCTAATTAATTAAGGAGCCCTTTTCCTAATCTCCTTAGGGTCCCTACTGTAGCTCTATATATACATCATTAAGCTCATGAGAAGAGAATAGAATTCATTCTCACGTGAAACACGCCTCTCTCTCTAGATCTCATTCGAGCTTTATCTTCTTCTTGTTGCTCCACTGGTACAAGTTGAAGAAGGGTGTATTGAGTAATACAGTAGAAGATCTGTAGGTAAACCGAGACGAAATTGATTTTGACCTACAGAACTAACCGGAAGTCCGATTGAGACGTACAGTATACCCAGACGACCGTCTCGACGAGAGCTTTCCATCGCCGCCGACGTCGCCGGAATCCGACGCCGCACGCGCCCTCACGCGCCGCCGGAAGGTGTCTGGCAGCAAAATTTCGTTTTGATCTGTTTGCATCCGTTTGATCCAGTTTTGATCTGATCTTGTTCGTGCAACCCAAGACGCGTGTTGCGGTCAATCAATTGCGGTCAACCGTTCGTGGTCAACCAGATCTACATAAATTTTAAGCCGTAAGTTCTCTACGTCAAACCTTTAGATCCGCTGCGCATAGGTTTACGTTTGCTATTGAATTCGTGATTTGTACATAACGAGATCCTCACAGATCCCAACAAGTGGTATCAGAGCACTTGGTTAATTCGTTTTGTACAAAGTTCGAATTTTTACGGCTTTATTTGACAAGATGTGTTCAAACGCAGCCATATATTGGATTATATTTGCATAACTCGGTTTTGCAGGAAAATAGTTAATCCACTATTATGGCCGATTATGTGTTTGATGAATGTTGTTGAATGTGATGTATGGTTTTAAATTTGTTTTTAAAGCCTCGGGCATGTCGAGGAATTTATGGATGAATGTTTGTAATAATTATTCGCCCGGGGGTTGACCGGATAGATTTAATTATTTGTTTAGAAAACATGTACATCCATTCGTTGGATCTAGGATCGAATTATGTAATTTTGTAAATTATATTTTTCGTGTTGTGATCGTGTGTTGATAACCGGGAGATCACAAGAGATCAACGAGCCTCGAAGAATAAAAAAAAAAAAAGGGAAACGGCGCGTTTTTCCGACCACTGGCGGCGGCGGCCGGCGGCCGGGCGGCAGCCAGGCGGCAGTCGGCGGTTGGCTGCAGGAGGTGGAGAGGTTTTGCCTTCTTGTCCAAGCAGTACAAGATCAACCAGGATTCTACTGCTTAAAGGAGTTCCAGTTGAACAGGGAAAAGAACTGTCACAGTTTCCTTGTTTAAGGAGACTCAATATTTAATGGCCATAATAGTGGATTTATTTATTTATTTAATTAAATTTATTATGCCATTAAATTATTATTTATGCATGTTAATTAATTATGTTCTTGCATGGGATTAATTTAGTATTGCTAGATTAATTATGCATGTTAATTAATTATGTAATGCATAGAATTAATTTAGAATTGTGTCAATAAATTATGCATGTAATTAATTATTGCACTGGCATGGATTAATTTAGAATTGCATAAATTATTGAACATGTTAATTAATTATTGCATTGACATAGATTAATTTAGAATTGCATGAATTAATATGCATGTTAATTAATTATTGCATTAACATAGATTAATTTGGAATTGTATAAATAGTTAAAAATCCTCATTAAATTATACTAAGTTTGAGAAGGGATTTTAAATTAAAGTTAATTGTAAAATTCCTAAGGCCTCCATTTCTAATTTGTCGGTAAATCAATTAATTGCGGTTATGGGCTCCCCCTCGGGTGACATTGCTAAAATTAATTGTAGGAAATTACCAGGACAAATTTCTAAAAGTAGACGGTTAGAGGAAATCTTATGAGAGCGTACGGGCTTCCCCTCGGATGACGTATAATCAAATTTGACGACCTTAGGACCGAGAAATGGGATTCACTTAGAATGCGATTAAATTTATTAACCCCCCTCGGGGTCCCTGAATTCTATTGCATGGCCAAATGGAGACCGACTATTAATTTCGTTCGTCATGAATTTGGTTTTGACTTATGGAAATTAATGGGCCTTAGAAAAGCCCTTCTCTTACAAAATGCGAGTTTGTAGGGCGACCCTCGTAGCATGCATTCTCACAAGGTGTAATAGATGTCGGTGGATTTAAGTTAATGTTGTTTTGAGGATATCAATATTAACAGTTAAATTCAAAAGTGTTTAATCTGTAAAATTTATTTGCATGATTCTCAGGATATTCATCATGTCGTTCAATCCGTTGTCTGTCATTCTAAAAGAAAATCAGCTTACTGGTCCTAATTACATTGATTGGAAGAGGAACTTAGACATAGTGTTGACTGCTGAGGGTTATAAGTTTGCTATCACTGATGCTTGCCCGGCGGTGCCGGCGGCTGATGCTCCTGAGCAGGAGAAAGAGGAGTATGCTCGGTGGAAGAAGGCTGATGAGATGGCGAAGTGTTACATTCTGGCTTCTATGTCGAATGTTCTTCAACATCAGCATCAGTCTAAGGACACTGCAGCAGATATACTTCTCAATCTCAGGGATCTGTTCGGACATCAGTCTAGGGCTGCTAGGCAAGAGGCTTTGAGTGCTCTGATGAGTACGCGCATGGCCGAGGGCACACCCGTAAGGGAGCATGCTCTCAGGGTTATGGCGCAGCTCAATGAGCTTGAGGTTATGGGAGGTTATATTGACGGGGAAACCCAGGTTGATATTATGCTCCAATCTCTGCCGAAGAGCTTTGATCAGTTCCGGTTGAACTACAACATGCACAAGATGCATATGGCTCTTCCAGAACTGCTTGCAGAGCTTCAGTCGGCGGAGGCCTTATTCACTCAAGCACCTCAGGTGCTAGTCGCCGAGCAGGCTGGACCTTCCAGGCCTCACAAGGGCAGGAAGAGAAAGAAGTCTGCAGGAAAGGTGAAGGCACAGGATGCTCCGGTTTACCCACGACCGACCCCTCAGGCTGTGGCAAAGAAACCGAAAGGAAGATGCCACAAGTGCAATAAGTCAGGACACTGGAAGGTCGATTGCCCTCTCCTCAAGAAAGGTAACTCTCTCGTTAATGTCGTAGAAACATGTTTAGCGGTTGTATCTACCAGAACCTGGTGTGTAGATACTGGAGCCACTGATCATGTCTGCAATTCTTTGCAGGGGTTCCAGGAAACCAAGCGACTTAGGGAGGGAGAGATCACCGTCTACATGGGCAATGCTACGAAAGTGGCGGCTGTTGCAGTGGGAGACGTTACTTTATCGTTCGATAGTAGTAGTTTGGTTTTGAGAAATTGCCTTTATGTTCCTAGTTTTAGAAAGAACCTTGTTTCAGTTTCTAAACTCGTTATGGATGGTTTTTCAGTTTCGTTTGATGACATGGTTATTATTCGTTTTGAAAATCGTTTCATATGTTGTGGTTCATTAGTTGGCAATTTATATGTTCTCAAACCGAACTCTCCCACAGTGCAACATAATGAATTGAATAATGTCATAACTACATCTAATAAGAGGAAGGAGTCTTCGCAGATGAATCAAGCATATCTGTGGCACCTTAGACTTGGACACATCAACCTTAGGAGGATTCAAAAGTTAGTGGCCAGTGGACATCTCGGTCCATTGGAAGAGCACTATCCAACTTGCGAATCATGCCTAGAAGGTAAGATGGCCAAGAGGCCGTTTACGGCAAAGGGGTATAGGAGCCAAGAAGTGCTAGGATTGATTCATTCTGATTTGTGTGGTCCTATGTCGATCCAGGCTAGAGGAGGTTTCGAGTACTATGTGTCTTTCATAGATGATTACTCGAGATTTGGGTACGTTTATCTGTTGCACCGCAAGTCCGAATGCTTTGAGAAATTCAAGGAGTATCGGGCAGTTGTGGAGAAGCTTCATGGTAAATGTATCAAGTCACTTCGTTCTGATCGAGGTGGCGAATACCTTTTTGGAGAGTTCAGGACATACTTATCGGAAGCTGGGATTGAATCCCAACTGACTGCACCCGGCACGCCCCAGCAGAACGGGGTTGCAGAGCGAAGAAATAGGACACTTATGGAGATGGTTAGATCTATGATGAGTTATTCGAGGTTACCAGATTCGTTTTGGGGAATGGCGCTGGAAACAGCATCGTACATTCTGAACTTGGTTCCATCGAAGTCAGTTGATACTACTCCTTACGAATTGTGGAAAGGGCGTAGGCCAGGCTTTTCACATATTCGGGTATGGGGTAGTCCTGCACACGTGTTAGTGCAGGAACCTGGCAAGTTGGAGAAACGTTCGGAAGCACGAGTTTTCGTAGGCTATCCCAAGGAAACGAAAGGTGGATTATTTTATAGTCCCGGGGATCAGAAGGTGATCGTTTCGACGAACGCTAGATTCTTGGAAGAAGACTATATTATGAATCATAAGCCCGCGAGTAGACTAGTCTTAGAGGAGTTAAGGGGTGAAAGCGATGGTTCCCCACCGAGTGCGCAAGTAGATACATCACATAATACTGCAACACGACACACTGAGAGTGTACCAGTGCAGACAGTGCCTCGTCGCAGTGGGAGGGTTTCTCATTTACCCGACCGATGGATAGGTCTTGGAGAGTCGTCAGACTCAGTTCCAGGAGGCCTAGAATCGGACCCAAGAACTTACGATGAGGCACTCCAAGATAAAGATGCAGATTCATGGAATGTTGCAATGAAAGCTGAAATGGGGTCAATGGACTCCAATCAGGTCTGGGATCTTGTAGAACTACCCGATGGGGTACGACCCATTGGATGTAAGTGGATCTATAAGAGAAAGAGAGGATTGGATGGGAAGGTGCAAACCTTTAAAGCTAGGCTTGTTGCGAAAGGTTATACCCAGATCGAGGGTATTGATTATGATGAGACCTTTTCGCCAGTAGCTATGCTTAAGTCCATTCGGATTCTCTTGGCTGTAGCCGCTCATATGGACTATGAGGTCTGGCAGATGGATGTCAAGACAGCTTTCCTTAATGGGAACCTGCAAGAAGACATCTATATGCAGCAACCAGAGGGATTCATTGCTGAAGGTCGTGAGCATCTAGTGTGTAAGCTTAATCGGTCTATTTATGGACTGAAGCAAGCTTCGAGATCTTGGAACATCCGTTTTGATGAGGTGATCCAGTCGTACGGGTTCACTCAATGTCCGGATGAGCATTGTGTTTACAAGAAAATCAGTGGGAGCGTGGTGGTGTTTCTTGTGCTTTACGTAGATGACATACTGCTTATTGGAAACAGTAAGAAGGAGTTATCAGACGTAAAGGTGTGGTTGTCTAAGCAGTTTGATATGAAGGACTTAGGTGAAGCAGGACACATTCTTGGTATTAGGCTCATTAGAGATCGTAAGAAGAGAATGTTGTGCTTATCCCAGTCTTCATACATAGATACTGTCTTGGCCAGATTTAGCATGCAGGATTCCAAGAAAGGTATGTTACCTTTTAGACATGGAATACCTTTATCTAAGGAGATGTCTCCTAAGACGTCTAAGGAGATAGAGGAGATGAAGACAGTTCCTTATGCTTCGGCAGTAGGAAGTCTCATGTATGCAATGCTATGCACAAGGCCGGATATTAGCTACGCCGTTGGCATGGTAGCTAGATATCAAAGTAATCCAGGACGGGAACATTGGTCTGCGGTGAAGCATATACTCAAGTACCTGAGAAGGACTAAGGAGTACATGTTAGTTTACCGTGCAGACAGCTTGTTACCTCTGGGTTACAGTGATTCTGATTTCCAGTCAGATAGGGATGAAAGTAAGTCAACCTCAGGTTATGTGTTTACCTTGGGAAGTGGAGCCATTTCATGGAGGAGTGCTAAGCAGAAATGCGTGGCAGACTCCACCATGGAAGCCGAGTACATAGCAGCCTCAGAGGCAGCGAAAGAGGCAGTTTGGCTCAGGAACTTCTTAGTGGACTTAGAGGTTATACCGAGTTTGCCACGTGGTATCACCGTGTACTGTGATAACAGTGGAGCAGTAGCGAACTCAAAAGAACCTCGAGCCCACAGGGCAAGCAAACACATAGAGCGCAAATACCATCTGATTCGGGATATCGTTGGTAGAGGAGACGTTGATGTTGCCAAGATTGCATCAGAGGATGCATGGCAATAGGATCGACATAGGTCTTTTAGAATAACGGATTGATAGGACTATACTGTAAAAGCGAAAGCTTTAAGTATAAGTGGGAGATTGTTAGTGTTATATACTGAAAGCTTGGCTTTGCATGTTATTACACATTTACCCTTTATGAATGAGAATCATGTTAGATTAAACAAGTTCTACGTTCTGTTGTTCTGCACTTAGATAGGGTGGGTCGTCATCGGGCGAACCGAAGATCACTCTATCAGTCACTTGCGAACAAGAATAGTTGTTCACAACCTAGATGGACATGAACACCCCATCCGAACGGTTGTAGTGTCAACTGTACAGTTTGTCTTGACTGATTAGTTGCACTAGTACATTTATGTATTGAACAGGATCCCAGAGAGGAGAAGTTCATTTTATACTGATCGTCGTAAATGAACTAGGCCTCGGTTAATTACTGCGTTCTCTTAACCCGTAAGATATTAAACAGGCAGATATATATAATATATATTACTTTGATTCACATGGGTGAGGTTCAGTTCGCTGGATTAATATTCCTACTGTTTTGGGTAATATTATTATATATAGGATGTGCTGTTAGGATATTTACGGTCACCATGTGCGTTAGTTTGATGATGTCCCCGGAGTGAGTTCATGAAGGATTGTTATGCTAAACCCTGCAGGTGGATTAAATTCCGGCATAATAAGAATGTGATGAACGAGCGCTAGCTTCGGTGAAATAATAATAAATTAATTAATTCTTGATTGTCAGTAATCGAATTAATTAATGGACATTATATCTTAAACGTGGGGAGGTAAATCGAGTAATTATTATTGGAGTCTCAAATGTAATTTGGGCTAGGGAAAGGGAGTGCAATAATATAATGTTGGTGGCCCATTAATATTATTTAATTAATTAGAGGAGTGGGTTTGGCCCACAGTTAGTCTAATTAATTAAGGAGCCCTTTTCCTAATCTCCTTAGGGTCCCTACTGTAGCTCTATATATACATCATTAAGCTCATGAGGAGGGAGAGGAGTTCACTTCTCACGTGAAACACGTCTCTCTCTCTAGATCTCATTCGAGCTTTATCTTCTTCTTGTTGCTCCACTGGTACAAGTTGAAGAAGGGTGTATTGAGTAATACAGTAGAAGATCTGTAGGTAAACAGAGACGAAATTGATTTTGACCTACAGAACTAACCAGAAGTCCGATTGAGACGTACAGTATACCCAGACGACCGTCTCGACGAGAGCTTTCCATCGCCGCCGACGTCGCCGGAATCCGCGCCGCACGCGCCCTCACGCGCCGCCGGAAGGTGTCTGGCAGCAAAATTTCGTTTTGATCTGTTTGCATCCGTTTGATCCAGTTTTGATCTGATCTTGTTCGTGCAACCCAAGACGCGTGTTGCGGTCAATCAATTGCGGTCAACCGTTCGTGGTCAACCAGATCTACATAAATTTTAAGCCGTAAGTTCTCTACGTCAAACCTTTAGATCCGCTGCGCATAGGTTTACGTTTGCTATTGAATTCGTGATTTGTACATAACGAGATCCTCACAGATCCCAACATTAATAACATTGTTGTGCAAGAACTGCTAAATATGAAATTGATATGCATGATTAATGTACCTGTTGGTGCGATATGTGGCATCAAATGATACAACATCCCCGAAAGATCCATAGTTACGTCTTGATATTGTATCAGCCCAAAAAAGCCTATGTAGGCAGTCATGTTCGTCGAGCTCATAGCGAAAATAAAAGGCAGAGTTAGTCTCCTGCTGTTTATAAAATTTCTCAATAACTAACTGAGCATCAGCACCTAAAATGTAGCCCATGAGCTCTCGTTTGAAGTTCCTGAACTCCACATTGGTGGCACCGATATTGGAATATCCTCCTACAATCTCTTTGTACAACTTGTACGACTTGATAGGGCCTATGTTGGCCTTTATACAGTTGAGGACAAATGTTTGATGCGCAGCCGTCATTGTCCTATTGATCTTTAGTCGCGCTCTACACTCGTCGGGCGTCATCGGATGGCTGTGCTTTTCTTCAAAAAATCGAACAATATAGTTGTTTGGTCCGTTAACTCGAAGGACAATCCGGGCGTTACACCCCACTCGGTTGGATACCCTGCGTCTTCGTGAGTGCATTGCTTGGATTGTGTCTGCGTGATGCTTGTGGCCCTCTCTCGAACATACTAGGTATTTCCAAACAACCGTCTTATCAATCGCTTTAATCAGGGTGCTGTGCCTAACGTCAAACCCAACCGTAGAAGCATACACGTTGTAGAAAATGACTGCCTCGTGAAGCCCGTGAAAAATCTGTCCTTTGAAGGGCCTAAGTGCATCCTCACATTGTGGTATCCAATATTTAGTGCCGCCTGGCGTGATGAGTAGCTGGCGGGTACGAGGTGATGATAGTTGTGCCGAATCTGTTGCAATTACGACCCCCAAATAAATAAAAAATAAAGGAAAACAAGATTTCGAATAAGCTGCACAACTACATGCACTCCCATGCACATTTATATGTTGTTCCATGCACAATTACGTACGAGGACATGCACTATATGATATACGTGCTATGCTCATCAAACTTGTACAAAACAGGGTATATGAATGTTCAGGGAGATTACACATCAACATGAATTACAGGTGAATACCAAAGTAAGCTCGTCATAATCAATCGACAATAACATATTTACAATACCTTCTTGCGTTTCGCTCGGCTCCACAGGGGCTTCCATGAATAAGAAGTATTGTGCAAAAAACCTAAATCAAATAGAAGATCGTTAGTTCCCCTCTTTATGAATCGCAACATACTCAGGTTACTCGTATGTTCGATTGCGGTAGAAACAAAAAATGAAAAAAAACGCAGCAATGAAGAATAAATAACCTGATTTTAGATCGTTTGGATTCTATATGTGATGGATTTTACTGAGCTGACTTGTGATTAATCACTATGTCGATGTGCGAACGCTCGGGAGCTCAATGTCGATTTTTCACCTAAGAACCCTAAGCTCGAATTTAATGTAGATGCGGCGATCGCGGGTTTCATCAGCAGAGGACACGCTAATGTGCGGGGTAAAATTACAGTTCTGCCCTTTTTAGTAATGGGCGTGAGCGTGGCTGCGCGTTGATTGGGACCGTGTGATGGCATTGATCCTGTGGTCAATATTTATTCCTATTTCTTTCGTTGATACTTATTCTCACCGGAGCGCGCCCCTATATATATATATATATATATATATATATATATATATATGTGAGTGGTTATTCCACTTTCTTAGTGGAAACTGCCCATATTTTTATCACTAAAGGTAGTTAGAGTGTGATTAAATATAAATTTGATTGGTTTTTTATTATTATTTTTTTAATTATAATTAATTTTAAAAAATTTGATATATTTAGCTGTTAGTGGTAATTTAAATTTAAATTAAAATAATATTTAAAATAAAATAATTAAAGTTGATTTGATGTAAAATAGGAGAAAAATGATTGGAAATGATAGTTAGTTAAAATTATGTGAGTAGATGAATAGTGAATAAAAATTGATGTGATGTGTAAGAATGATTGATTGATATTATTTAATTATATTGATAATATTGAAGATAGTGTGATTATGTTAAAGTTGAGTTGAATTTGAGTTTTAATTTATTTTTTACTAGTCAAGTTTATATCCAATCACTTTATACTTTTCACTTCTTTCCAAGATTCAAGAAACACCCAAGTCTTAGTTTCATATGGCTTTTTGGAGTTTTTGCTGTTTAATTTTACTCCAATTCTAGTGATTATATGTTTTTAATTTTTTTTATTTTTAAAATAACTTCCGATAACTTGTATGAACTGAGTAGTTACGTAATGCACTAGAAAAACCAATTGAAGTCGTTTCTCAACCCTGAAGAACATTTTTTTATTAATTCTAAATGTTGAATTTGAATTTCATAAAATCTCGTAGATTTTGTATAATTATTTTAATGATTACTAGGAGCAGGGTTCTAAAATATCTAAAATAAATAAATGTCCGTCGATTGAATTTTGTATCAATCATTACGAAACTATTATATAATAGTGAGTAGTACAATTAAAACTTTAAATTATAGTATTATTTATCATGTTAAATTTGACCCTTAGCGAGAAATTTCTAGGTTTGAGAGTAACATTATTGGATATAAAATATCCAGCTATGATTGACTAGAAGTTCATTATGTGCAAATGCACAAATAACATATAAAATAATATAAATTTTGTATATTAAAATAACAATTAAAATAAAAAATAACTTGATAATATTTATCATCTTTATAATTGCATTGCTACATTACTTGCTCTTAGCTGAAATTTTAGATTCCAATAGAAAAGTATAAATGAGGAATTTATCATATGTCAATGATTAGTATATGAATATAATAAATAATATAATTTTACACATACTTTGAATATCATAATAATAATAGTCATAAAATTATCAACAAAATAAAAAAATTGAAATTTGAAATGGATAATATAAATTTTATATAGTATATATTAATCTTTTAAGATAATTATCTTATTAATTGTATTACTAAGAAAACAAAATACATGTACAGTTTGAATTATTTCATCTAACAATTTTTTTACTTATAATTTGATACATATATGTTCAGTACTGTTGTTACAAAACATTGGTCACCATAAAATACCACATCTAACTTGTAACTTGTAAGACACAATAATAACAATGTAAGTTTTTTAGCCCTTACATGAAGGTAAAATTTAAAAAATCACTGCATTCAATCAATAGACTACTTTGTACAATTTGTGTATATAACAAAAATAAAAAAGAAAATATTTTAAAATAAAAACTAATAAAAGTTACATAACTTGATAAAATTAATATAAATCTACATTAATAAACTAAAAATTTAGGTAGATATTTTTAATGTATAGAAGCCGCATCAAACTAATAATTGAATCCCTACAAATCAAAACGCAAAATAAATTAATAGGATTATGGTTGTTTTTTATAATTTATTTTGTAAGACAAATTCGAAATCTATATACTACTTCTAAATATCTGTCTTGAAACTCGATTTTGTTGTACTATTCAAGATGGTTAAAATTAAGTATGAATAATTTGAAGTTCAAATTTAAATTATTTTCTACCAAAAGAAGAGATATACAGTAGTAACATTGAAAGGTTACTAAAAAAATATTACTTATCATGCAGCAAAATAACAAATTACATAATTAAGTTTATTTTAAAACATAATTGTTACAGTTTTTATGAATATTATAATATTTATTAAATATGTAATGATGTTGCCACAAATAAAAGAAAATTAAAACTTACTAAAAAAAGCTGAAAAATTTAGGCAGGATTTTTTTCTTTTCCAATAAATGAATAACTTGCAACTCTCTCTCTCTCTCTCTCTATATATATATATATATATATATATATAGGGGGCGGATCAAATGCGCCCAGCTCTTAAAATGCGGACATCTCTTAGCAACTACAGACAACTAACCTAGCAACTACAGAGACCTAACCTAGCAATTACATAGAACTATCCTAGCAACTACTAACCTAGCAACTCCAGAGAACTAACCTAGCAACTACAGAGAACTAACCTAGCAACTACAGACAACTAACTCAGCAACTACAGAGAACTAGCTTAGCAACTACATAGAACTAACCTAGCAACGAGAACTAACCTAGTAGGAAGGTTAGTTGTCAACGGTCAACGTCAGAAGTCAATGAATTTCTCCGGAAGTCAACGTCAGAAGTCAACGGTTAACGCCAAAAGTCAATAGTCAACGCCGGAGTCAACGGGTCAAAATAATATTTAAATAATTAAGATAATAAAAAGAAAAAAATAAATCTTGGCTACACATGATGTACCAAATCTTGTGGCTAAAATTGAGTCTCACGTCCTCACTTTAAATAAGTGGATGCATTGGAACCAATCCCTATATATATATATATATATATATATGTGGTTGGATTCAAGTGAGAAATGCGCTTAGTGAAAGAAATAAGAATGCACCGTAGTCATTAGATAATCCGATCTAATGGCTAAAAAAGCTAAAATTATACATTCATTAAGGGTTAGACATTTCAGAAAACAACCACATTATTGGGCCCCACCCCCACACAGCTTTTGCCAGCTAACTAATCTCTCTCTCTCTCTCACACACACACACACACACCCACACACCAACACATACACACATCTCCACCCGGCCGCTGGAAAAAATCCTGCCACTGCCGGAGTGACG